TATAAGTTGGTCAATATACTAAAATAGTGAAACTGCGTTTTTCTCAACCTTTTAAGTAGCAAAGACAAAAATAAGTAAAACTCGTACAAAACTATAAAATAAAAAAACAGTAAATGAAGTCCACATGCTTTGTATTTTAGAGCTTCCTTTGTCGTTTTGTATCAATAGCAACTTTGAATGTGGCCACTCTGCTGTACCAACTATCACTGGTAAGAGATAGTGTGCATGCATTGACTATCTTTGAAACCCTTACGCCCTTACTGATAAAAAAAGAATTGTCTAAATTATAAAAAGCCGGTCAAATCTTGTATTGAAGACACTGGTGTGAATCAACATTCTACGATCGAGCCACTACTAAATCCTTTGGACTTTACAGTAAGCCGAGAAACGTATCAAATAAGTCTAATTTTGTCCCTGATGCATGCGCCTTGGTGTTGTTTATCCTAAAGAGAAAACAAAGAAAGTTGCGTTAACATCCAAAGTGAAATTACTTTTCCATCCTTCGTTGAGAACCACCTCATTGGACACAATGTTGATTTTGTTCTCGCCTTTTTTAGTGTTAGAAGCCCTCAAATTGATATGTTGTCAGCAAAAAACACGTACACATCAGCCACCAAATCATAGAAATATTCTACATGTCCGACACCGCTGACGTCACTTTTTAAAAATATATTGCACATAGTGGTTGAAGTAATAATAGTTCTTTCTTCTTATGAAAAAGGCGCCATCATAGCCAGAGGCTTGCATTTTTATTTCAAGAAAACTGGTGATTTTTTCTTAGTGTTAGAAGTATTTGTTTATCTTAGTCTGCGGACTTCGGGTACTTCAGATATGAAAGCTCAGAAACGGACTATTAAAGAGGAGTGCAGTATTTCTCGTGGCTATTCAGTCCTAGCTGGTTACAGATTTTTTGCCACTTCCAGTACAGACATAATCGTTGGTCAGTTTATGTTCTCTTTCCGACGACTACGTCTGTCCTCGGCAGTAGATTTCCTTTTGGTCTCAGATATGTATTCCGCAAACTTTCTAATAAATCTCCAACTGTCTCGTCGGAAACCGCCTGCTGCCAGGTGCTCTCTTCTATGCCAGTTAAAGCAAGCTGGCGCCCAAAGCTGGTCTTTTTAAAGCTCGGCGTTTCAGTACCACCTCATCGTGGTCGTCGGGTGAACACTCCGCTCTCTTGGAGTGGCCAAGAGTACTGGTTGCTTGCCGCTGATGAATGAGCAGCCGGCAAGTGTAAAAGGAAATTAAAGGGGTTATGTCCAGCCCCCCCTCCCCTGTGGGGCCCCGGGGCAACGGTTAGTAAGAAACTCACGGGTTCTCCGAAAAGCGGACAGCGCTGGACACCAACTCGAGGGTTGGTCGGGTTCTCCTGGGACTGGACTGACTGGCGCGGCCTTAGCGATGATTGGGCCAGTAGGTAAGAAAGAACCCCCGTTGAGGTGCCTAAGGACAGACTCCATTGCACTGGCGGAGGTGGAAGAAAGCCCCAACAAACATCTTTCTATCCACACACCGTTCCTCAAAGGACCGTTTTTATGGCGGACACCTGCACGGCTGATGTGGTAAAGTGAAGAAATATGGGGGAGTTTCCTTGATGTGCTCGACCATTGGCCTCGCTTCTAATGCGAGCGTCTTGGCTATCAGCCATTGGTTATAGGGATGTAATAATTTACATCTGCTTCGATATTTCCCAGACAGACATTTGTTCAGACAGGCACAACTGTTATGACAATTAGAAAGAAGAATTGTGACCATAAGAAATATAGGCCAGGCCAATTGTCGTTTGTTTATCCTGTTCAAAGTGATCCGTTCCGCGGCTGCACCACCGGCCCCGTGGGTACTGGCCCCTGATAATATGACTGAAGTTAAACATTACAGTTGTAATTTTTTTTTATTGAACAAATGGCTAATGCCAAAAATCTGTTAGGCGCATTCGCCAGCATAACAAGTCTCAACTAATGTGCACTATTTTGCATGGTCATGTCTTCCCCTCACTGCTATTTGAGAACCTCTGATCTATTCAAATGCAATGGTTTATATGTATCAATAACCCAGCTACGTAGCAATAGTATAAACGTCAGGGTATTAGGTGAACGCAAGATCGATAGGATCATTCCAACAAGTCATTAAACTTTTATTGTTCAACCGTTAAAGGGAGGTTATCGTGGTGTGGCATATTATATCCCTTGAATTGTACCTCTCCCAGGGCGTCTAAATTTGCTGATACAATATTCACACTTCATGTTCGGCAAGAGTGTGGCCAAAAACAAATTCAATGAAAAATAAATTAGGCTAAATTGTGTTTCCATTTGTTCTCACGAACAAACACGAGAACTCGTGGTTCAGTGAGAGTTTAAAGCATGGTCGTAGGTCAGTGGTGTGTTGGCTACGATTGCATAAGGATCGTTGAAAATTGGAAAGTGTGCACCTAGTTTTTGTAGGTAGATTCATAGAATGCAGAAGCGGCCTTAGAAGTGCTGAGTGTCATACAGGGCCACGAATATTTGTACGATATCAAAAGATTCACTTTATCATAGATGCCCCCCTCCCTAAGGTTGCCCCACTCACTACCTCATAAGTCCGCCTCTATACAATGATTGTTAGGCCTACTATAGTTTTGATTTTTAAAGGCTTCGGAAGCTCGATAGATTCAACAGGCTGATTGGCTTTGCTGCTTTAACCCAAGAGGTTGGAGTTCGAATCCTGATAAAGAACTGGGAACTTCTGATGTGAGATTTGACTCGATCTGACTCACGTTAGTTCAGCGCCTACATACAGCACGGAAACCTTCTTCCCAATTTCCTTACATCCTCCCTTTTCACTAAAATGTAACAATCAGCACTAAATCTAAAAATTAATTCTATGAATTGTTATATTCATAATTCTTTAAATAAAATAGCATAGCGTTTTAGTTTATGTGTCTTCTTGTGCCATGCAATGGATGGATTAATGGATGGATGGATCATATGGATAAATAGGTCAAGACTTCTATATTTTGTTTTCAATAAGGGCTATCAGTGACAATGAGACACAGTCATGATGTGGAACTCACAATAGAAGCCTTTGTTTTTAAGTACGTCATGCGATAGATGGATGGATGCCTAGATGGATAAATAGATCTAGATCTCTACATTTTGTTTTCAATGTGACAGTATCAGTGACAACGAGACACAGTCATTAAAAAAAAGCCAATAATTCCGCCATAATTTCATTCTGTTGCCCTCCCTAGCCCCTTCTCAGTGCTCAGATGGAAGAACGAAATGGCAAGTCTCTCGGGGAATAGGCTTGATGAAATAGCATCCATTGTCTCTCGGTCTGGGCATAATGTCAAACTGTGTATTGCGTTTAACAATGTACATTTTATTGACTAATTGGTAATTCTAAATCAAGGGACCCACACATCGAACTCTCAATATAATTGGTGACCGAACCTGACAGGTTTGTAGGGAAAACACGAAAAAACATCTAGTCCAAACTTTAAGCCTGACTCAATCCAAAACGCTTAATCTAAACTATATATTTTTTTAAAACCCTGTGTATGTCTAAATTTATAATGAAATAGTCTATCAGAACTGTGACAATGAGGGATAGTGTGGAAATTCCACTAGAGACTTAAGGTAGGCTATTTAGTGAAGTCATTCAAGTACTAGTGCACCTTTCTTGAGCCAAGAAAAATTAAAGCTTCTTACACACACACACACATACAAAGTAAAGCACCCATTCCATACCTTACAATCTAAAGACATGGGCGCGTTGGCTATATGGGTATTCGGGCAAAGCCCGGTGGGCCACCGAAAGGGCCGCATGGATGCCACAATGGCACGTATTAAATTGTTAAAGGTTATATTAATATTCTCTCATAAAAGTGGTCCTCTGAGTGTCGTGTTAAAAAATCAAACACCTTATACATGCTCTACATTGACTTTACAGTCTAATACTAATTTAATGTAACACATTTTCCAAAATAATGTAATAGCCTAAATCCGTAGACATAACATTGCTACTAGTAGGCTTCATCCTTTTAGGGCCAACACACTTAGCCATGACAAAGCAACATAAGGCCTAACTTTCTTATTAAGATATAGAGTTCACTGTAGGCCCTATGCAGTTATCGACAGATTATCAAAATTAACATAATAATTATAAGGACAGTTATGATTGGATGCCCATCATTATAATATTCAATTTGTGGGCCACATTGTATACAAATGCCCGGACCGATTTTGACACCCAGTCCGCCTCTGTCTACAAAGCAGATGATGTAAAGACCATCTGTTTCTATGGTCTACTATTATCGAGGGTGTCATGTGACCAGCACAACGACGAACCTCTTTTACTGTCCCCAACTAATGTCAGGTAGCCTACCCAATAGAGTTCGACTCAAGGACGTCCTAAAAATCCAGAAATTCAAAACCCCAGATTCGAAACCCTGAAGCCAAGCGCTTTACCATTCCGCAAACACTTTCTACACAACACACTGGTAAATAGTGGGACACGCTAACCCTGCCACGCCCATCATCCCTGCCTTCGATCATAAGCTTTTTTTTTTAAACTCTGCAAATCAAAAGCATCGAAATCTTTTTCTATCGTTATTTCATTTGTTTCTTTTCAGATCTCTTCAGAACCAATCAAATCTCCCCAGCATTCATCCAATTCCAAGTCCTATTTTATTGCAACTTTCCAAGTGACAGGCCTTCTAAATGTATGACTTAATTTTAAGATGTTGTCAATAATGGAAACAGTATTATGATTAATTAAGCATTTGCGATCCCCGAATCAGGGATTCCAGCCATCTTGTAAGATCTGGGTCATACTTTTTTTTTATTTTTATACGTTATTTCAAGTAAGGATCTTTGAATGATTTGACCCTATCTGACCAACAGATCAAGTAACTTTCATCGAAAGAAACACATGAAACAATGTTATTAACAGAATAACAGTTGAAGGAACATTGTAGCTGACACAAGACAGGAACACTGTAAACTAAACTGGACACAGGAACACTGTCAACAATACTGGACACAGGAACACTGTCAACAATACTGGACACAGGAACACTGTCAACAATACTGGATGCGGAAAAATTGTATACAATATTCAACACCAGACAAACGTCGGGGTAGAATCGGGAGAGAAATAAAAAAAAATGACGTTATGGCTCATCATAGAATTTTATTCTTACTACACAACTCGGAGGTGGTCTCGAAAACTTGACACACACAAGCAAGTGCACAAGTGCACAGCACTGAAGACTTCCTGTAAAGCTCTTGATATTTTACTCAGAGTTGAACTAGTTCAATTGCTGTTAGAGACTTTTGGTGAAATGAACGACGCTTACGTTTCTTAACAAAAATGAACGTCTCATATAAAGTAAAACATTGGGACTGTTTCGTTAAATAGCATTTGAAAGATTCAAAGAGTGCTTCTATAAGTCTTCGAGGCTTGTATCTGCTTTAAAATTGTAAAAATATAGAAAAAAAGTAAAAGCAAAGTATCCCTTTGTGATATATATTGCAGATATTGTAAATATAATCTACTTCTGTGACCGACGGTCAAGGAGGGTATCATGTGGCCAGTACAACAATCATTCACCCTTAACCCTTTCCCAGCTAAAGTAAGGTACCCATTAGAGTTGGGTGTACACGAGGGCGTCCTAAAAATCCCATTCTTCATTAAGATTTGAACCCAAGACCGCTAGGTTCAGAACCAATAACTTTACCCCTCAGCCACTATGCCCACCAAAGGATAGGAAAGAAATCTTCAATTAGTGCTGGTTGAAAATTAAGTCATACAGTCAGACGTTGGGCTGCAGCATAGACACCAACACTTCTTTTGGTGGATCTCAATTTCAACACAACCAAGTAATAAAAGCATAGCACTTTTAAAAAAAATACCGGGTAATAAAACTTAACTCCATTTTGTAATATTGTAGCTCTAACTTGACGGACACAGCCATGACCAATCAATTTCTTTGAGCCTAAAGATCGTGTGTAATCCATAACAAGAGTCCAGGAGAGGCAAATAAGTATTTTGTTTGGTTGTATCGTGTGGTGAATGTGTAACAAATTGAGCAAAGAAACTTTCAGTTTTAAAGGTCTATAAGTAGTTTCCTCTGGATCCAGTTTTATTTTTGTGTGGTTGACATTAGAATTTATTAAAATAAAGGTCAAGGAATCTAGATTGCAGAATTCAAGGTTCAGGCCATCAAGTTAATGTGTATGTTTACCTCTGATAGTGTGTCTAAATATTAGATGATTACACATGAAATAATGATGTAACAGAGTGACATTATCACTATTTAAAATTGTACAAGAGATATTAGTGGTAGTTTCTGCTAGAATGCATACCTTTAACCTCAAAGTACTAGACATACATTAATGTGTGTGTGTTAGCCAAAACTGTTAACGACGAAAGAGAAGGAAATAAAATGAACATATTTTAGAACAGAGTTCAACTTTTGCATGCAAGTTTTTTTATATTTTGTTTTAAAATGAATACTGTGATAGTATTCTGCTAATGAAAGTTCAGATTGACATTAATCTCAGGTTTACAAAAATATTAACTGAACAGAAGTAATCTTGTGATATGATATTCACAAGTTAAAACTAAGGTGTGAAAAATCTTGTATGTGATGTGATACTAGTCCCCTACACCAATCTTGGGTACCTATACTAAAATGTTCTATTCATGAAAAACAAAATCTTGGTAGACATCTAATTACAGACAAGCAATCTTGGTAGTAGGTAGTCTTCTATTTACACACAACAAATTTTTTCTTAGCCTTCAATTTACATACAAAAAAATTCTTTGGTAGTTCTATTAACACAAAACTAGTTCTTAGGTAGTTTCCTGTATAACCTTACCTGGTACTTACACCAACATTTATACAGTACTTGGCAGGTCATTGCAATGCACTACAGTTTCACAAGGAACAAATGTTAACCAAAAAAAAAAAAAAGAAACATAAGATTAAGATATCTGTTAACTTTAATAATACAAATCAATAAAAACATACAACAAAAATGTGGACCATATAAGACTGTTACTAACATCTGAAATGACAGAAATACCCAAGACCAAATGTAGCCTGGAGGTCAGTCATGGACACTACACATGAAACAAAGTAGGAATGGACTTAACAGTATGAAGCCTACCGTCTACATTATCTAAGTGAACACAATCTAGGAGTTTCACATGCACGCAACTTTCCAACGCAATTAATAGGACAAGTCTAGACTTGACTTTAAAAGTAAAAAGAGTTCAGAAAAAAAGCAAAAAAAAAAAGTCAAAAAGTTTAATTATGACTTTTTTTCAAGAAGAAATAAGTAAAATGACAATTTAAGAAAATAATTAATTAATAAGCCATTTAAAATCATTTGTTAAAAACAAGTTTAAAATTATAGATCTATAGAAGTTGTTTGTTATAGTTTTAATAATAAGCCATTAAAAAGTGTCAAATAAAGGTATAAAATGAAGCAGACATCTATTTTAAAGAAAGAACATTGCCATATACAATATTTAGTTATTTCTCTTCAGTTCTTTGTATATACAGACACATCTAGACAAGAAACATTGACTTTGTGTTCATGCTGTACAGCTGACTCCAACAAAAGCATCAATTTCATAAGATAGCCAACATCCACTTGGAATCCACCACTTCAAAGTCTGTCAGTTATGTTCCTCTACACCCAGGTCCAGCCACTTCTAGTAGTTATAGCGGTAGTGTGATGATTGATCATAGCCAAAGGATGAAGAGTTTCTGAAACAGAAAAGTATTGCAACTCATTTACACAATGTTGAAAGAGGCTAAGTAAAAGCTTGAACAACTATAGTATCAGTTTTAATTCAAAGTTCATAGAAATGTTGCAGAAGACAAAGTTGATACTACTCATTTTTTTTTTAATGTAAATAATTTTAAACAATTCTTCAATGTGTCTGAAAGCCAAATAAATTCTAACTAAAATCTGCTAGACAAGTTAGTACTAAAATACATTTGAACTGGACATTGTACTAATGTCATTGAAATCATAGTACTGGAAAGAGAAATACAAAACTTTCAGATAACACAATAGACAAATAATGTCACATTTAGACAATGTCCTTTCATTCCATCAATTACAATATAAATGTGTAAGCTTCTTAAAATTCTGAGTCACTGCTCTAAGCTTTATGTAACAACCCAACTCAAAACTGAATTCTCAGTTTGTTGTAACAGAAAAAAAAAAAAGACAAAGTTCTATAAGAAAGTCCAATCAATGTTAACAAAATTGTAATCTTGTAAAAAACTAATGACCCAATCTAAAGTAGTCTGCAACATTGTAAATTTTATCTTCTGTGTTGTTGGGGGACTGTTAACCTAATAAGAAGCCTCAATCCAGAGCTTGGGAACCAAAGATTTCAACTTAAAAAACAAACCAAGACAGACGACAACATGTAGTACCTTGAGTTATACCCAGATCCAAAAGCAGGGGAACTATCTAACTGTCTGTCAGACTCATAATACAAATTCTGAAGTTGCTGTTGTTGTTGTTGTTGCTGTTGCTGCAATGCGTAGTAATCCTCACTCTCCTCTGCCCAACTTGACTGTTGTTGGCTTCCGAGACTCATATTTTGTCGCTTGGGACTAAAGCTATCTTCACCATAGTCAGCACTGAAGCTTGATTGGTTGGCCCTTCGCTTGTTACCGCCAAACGCTCTGGAGACTTCTACTTGGACAGAAAGAGGTTCAACAACAAAAAAGTACACAAAAAGTCTGGTCTGTTTGACAAGTACACTCTTTGAATATACAAATGTATTTTAAAAAATTATGAACAAAATTCAAAAGGTTGAAAATGAATAAATAAATCCTTTCATAGATTTAATAGTTAAACTTTTAATCCCATTGCTTTACTTCCCCTGCAAGCATGTGTTCACTGTCTGCTCAAAAAAACAGCATATATTGAGTAAGTTTGTGAGAGCTTAGGGGATGGTTTCAAGAGCAGACTATCAAAAAAAAAAAAAAAAGAGAATGTTGGAGCACAAATGATGCTGACTGTAATCAATTGTACTGCAGCATTCACTGTGCTTTAGGTAAGGGAGTTGAAACCTGGAAAATGGCTTCTTTTGTGCTACACTGTAGTTTCTTCAAGGTAAGCACATAACCAAGTAAAACAAAAAGGTGGTCTGTTACTATCAAATCAACAGGTGCTGACTATTAATGGATTGTCATTGAGGGTAACAGTATAAAAATATCAACATTTTAAAATAAGAATTGCTTTCACATCCGAACATAAACATTTATCAAATGTGTAAAACAGAAATTTAAGATAAAATAATATTTTTTAAAAATGATTATATTGTCAGGGTGGTCATCTGAAATGACAAGGAAAGGAAATCTAGACAATTTTCAGAAGTCATTGACCCATTATTTTCAGTTATCATAAAATGGGAAATTACTCTGTAAAAACAAAGTTAGGTTAGAGAGACAATAAAATGGAAGAATTGGAGTTGCTGCTATGATTGCATTTGGAGCATTTCCATTTTATTGAGTTAAAACCCAAATTTTGTCAATTTCTCAGTTTTAATACTAAACTAAACATTTGTACAATTTTAAGGTTTATAACAATGACAGATGTTTTATACCAACAAGTATACAAGATTCAATTAAATCGTAAGATATCCCTAGAGTACACCTATCTAATTTCAATCTTCCCAACACTATTTTACATCTAAAAACCTTTTTTTTAATCTCAATTTCCTTGTACAACCCCCTACCAGCTATTAGTTTCATTGCCCAGGATATGTAACCCCCCAGGTTTAATAAATGCCATCACCTACCTGGGGAAGCTCCTGCGCCCAAGTCTGAGGTTAGTGCACTTCTCTTGGCTTGTTCTACAGCCAACTGGGTCTGATTCAGCATGGCTATTTGATTCTTGATGGCCAAACTCAACTGGCTTTGAAGCATCATCATTTCCTTGGTGGTTTCAGCATTGACACCCATATCACCTACACATAGAGGAACATGGTGAACACAACATGCTAGCAGCACACAAAAAAACTTAACTGTTACCATAGGTATAAAAGCTAGTTATAGGCACTAATTTTAATTGTAATAAATAGATTAGTTTAGTAAATCATAGATTATCAATAATGTTGTAATGTTAAATAATAAACGATATAATATAAAATAATTTTCTATAAATAAATATCTAAGTATATACATAAGGAAAATACAAGGACCTGACAGAAGACTACTTTTGGATTTCGATTTTATAATCTTTCAATTATACACTTCAGAGATTCCATAGAGAGCACCCAGATAGATCACATGAAGTTGTCGAGTCTTTAGAATTTGAGACAGTTCAAAGACAGGCTGACACTGTCTAACTTTAGAATTTCAGACAATTCAAAGACAGGCTGATACTGTCTACATTCAAATGCTCTTTTAGTAAAACAGTGTCAAACAAGCAGGGAAGAAACCAAAGTACTTATAAAACTGTCTCAAGTCACAAAATAAAATCTCCCAAGCATATATAGTAAAAGCCTGGCTTAGCTCTTGCGATGCACAATTGTCCCACTGTGCTATTCACAGGCTTCAGGCTTTCACTCAGAGAAAATACTTCTTAAAACTAGTAAGATACCAAACTTCAGGAGACAATTACTACAGTAGAAAAAGATCTAACAAAACTGGCCTCGATTTCAGTCTTTTCTTATCTAAGTACTATCAATTCTCTCTAATATATTACTATCCAATGGGGCCAACAGCATAGCTATGTGAAATCCAAACTGCAAGTCAGAAAACAGCAGAAGTGGAAGCTATTTTTCAATTAGATGAATATTAAACTCTATTGTCTTTAGGAATGGGCAATTATTCCTACAGTTTTTGGATTCGGTTTAAAAATCTCTCTCACACAGATCTACAACTTGATAACAGTCTAGCAATACAGTGAAGCTACTTCACAAAAGACATACAGCAAGTGGTATGTTGTTCAAAAAAGATTATGACACAATCTCATTTATCAGGGCAGCACTGGATGATAGCAGATACTGTAAGCAGCACTGCTTGATACCAGCAGTTGCTTGACTAGGTGGACTCTTTTGTTAAATGTTTAAAGATCATACTAACCCGAGCCTCCTGTCATACCTCCACCAAAACCTGGCTCATCAAATCTATCAGCTCTACCACTGCGGGCAAAGCTTCCGCCAGATCCGAATCTTTGTCTGCTCCCAGCAGATCTGGAGTTCCAATTGGAGTTATTCCTGCCGAAGCTTCGATTGCCAGAACCACCTGGATTCTGCCTTCTGTTGACTGCAGTGTCCCGACCAAGGGGACCTCTTCTTACTGGTCTGTTTAGCTGACCACGTGGAGATGTTTCTGGTCTGCTTATCTGACCACGTGGCGATGGATCTGTTCTGCTTTGCTGACCACGTGAAGATGTTTCT